GGGGGGGGGGGGGGGGGCTGGGCCTACAGATGTATCTCAGAGCAAAGGTTCAATCCCCAGTACCACCATAAGAGTTATGTAAGAGGTACACTTGTATTTAGGAAATAAACTTCAAAGTATTAAGTATTGAAACCCTTTGAAGAATTCCCATTATGCTTGATCTTGATAAGGTCTTGAATTACCCAGCCATCATCTAACTCTCTGGCTTTATCTCAGGATATTCACTGTGTATTCAACTCACTAAATTATATGGTCTTCTATTTCAGGGCCTTCATCAATTTTTTTTCTTCTGTATTTGAATCCTTTCCCCTATTTCCCACTTTTTTCTAAGCTGGCATGCCTTCAAAGAAGACTTTCTGCCGGGAATGGCAGGACACCCCTATCTATAATCTAGCATTCCAGCAGGCTGAGACAGGAAAATCACAAGTTAGAGACCAGCGTGGGCAACTTAGTGAAACCTTGTCTCAAATAAAAGAGCTTTTTTTTGGTACCAGGGATTAAACTTGGGACCTTGAGCTTGCAAGGCAGGCGCTGGAACCACTGAGCTAAATCCCCAGCCCTCAAATAAAAAATGTTTTTTAAAAGGGAGCAAGAGGGGGAACCTGGAGATAATTCCCAGTGCAAAGGCCCTGAGATCGACTGTGGTTACGATGAATCAAACACAATTCTAGGACATAGGAATTCAGCAGTAAACATTTTAAAACGTGTATCTTTGTGAAGTTTTTAGAGGGAAGGAAAAAATACAGTACAGTGCTAGGTGCTATAGAGAAAAACAGGTAAGAATAAAGTATATATACACTGAGGTGAAGAGGTTGCCGTTTTGAGTAAGATGGTCATTTAACTACACTTTGTTTTTATTTTTTATTTTTTTTTTGGTACCGGGGATCAAACTCAGGTCCTTGCGCTTGTGCAGGAGGCAGCGAAACCGCTGAGCTAAATCCCCAGCCCCACTTTGTTTTTAATTTTAAAACATCATGAATGGAGAAATCCTGAAGGAAATGATGGAGTGAGCCAAACTGCTGAGAGAAAAGTCTAAGGAAAAACCAGTTCCACGATCCTTGAATGAAAGTGTGCCTGGGAATGTATCTGATTGGGAATGTATCTGGAATGGCAAGGAAGCCAATACTGCCATTAAGTGAGTATGGAAAAAAAACAGGAGACAAAATCAAAGAAATAATAATAGTCAGGCATGGCGGTGCCTTCCTATATAATCCCAGCACTCTGGAAGGCTGAAGCAGACAAGATTGAAAGTTTGAGCTCAGCCTAGGGGACTTAACAAGATTCTCTTGAAAAATAAAGGAATGGGGATGTAACTCAAAGTGAAGTCCCTGGGTTCAATCTTCAGTTCCCAGAAGGGAGGGAGGGAGGGAAAAAGAAAGAGAAACAAAAAAGGGAAGGAAGGAAGGGAGGGAGGGAGGGAGGGAGGGAGGGAAAGTAATACCTTGAGTACAACTATAAAACTTTGGGGTTTTATTATATGGGCAAATGAGTTGAACAAAAGAGTAACATGATCTAATTTATTTTCAGTCACCATGGCTGCTATACAAGCAACTACAGGTATGCAAGGGCAAAAGTAGAGATATCAGGAAGCTACTTGCAGTCAAGAAATGAACACAGACCAACATGGTCCATGGTGGCAGCAAAAGTGATATGTCAGTCAATATAATCCCTTTTTAAAATTAGTTCCACCTCCATTTGTAATTTCTTAAGCCCCTGAAATTTCTTTCACAGAATTTATCCCTGATCATAATGTATTATTTGTGGGGTCATTATTAATGTCTCTTGTCTCATTCTAAGCTCTAAGAGAACAGATACTGGGTCTGTTTGCTTAGGTTTGTTGCTGGCTTGCAAAGATGGACACAGAAAACGCAGCTTTCAAAAAGCAATCTTTTTTCCTGTCTCTGACAAGTAAAGCCTAAGATTCTGTTTTGATAATGAACAGGAACTTCCCAAGGACTCCACAAGGAAGAAACAAGTACCAAAGGCCTAAAGCATCAAGAATGCCTGAAGGTATGTGGGTGCAACAAAGAGGCCAATATGGCTATAGAACAAGGATTGGCAAGCTGTTGCCAGAAAGTGTTATTCTAGGCTCGTCTGGGTTAAAGGCAAAATCAAAGACAGTACATAAGTACTTATATAACAGAGAACCTCCTGTCCTGCTCTGTACCCTTTTGGCTGGGGGCTGTCCTAGCAATAAGCACACTGGGTACATAGATGTCCAACTACCATCAGCCGGAGACATTCTCTGAATGAGGGGAGGAGTGGCCAAAATGTTCAGTTTCACTCACTGTCACAACATCCAAATTCCTGCAAGGAATCTCTCTTCCAACAAAGCCCAGACACTTCAATTTAGTCATGTGGAACAGCTGACTGGAGGCAAAGTAATG